CACGCGAGCCGGTATCAGGTACGAGTAGGGAGAGCCACGTGTTCCGCCGGCAATGCCTGCTCTGATCGCAGGGTCTGCAGCAATATTCAAGGAAACATCATGGAGGCAGAGATGAAAGTTCATGAAGCCGTACGCAACCCTCTGCCCCTACTTATCGCCAGAGACGTCCCTCGTGTAGCTCATCAGGCGAGCCTGTAGCAGGGATCAATTTGGAGAGCGACGTGTCCCACCCACAATGGACGATCTGATGGCAGGGGGGTCTGCTGTGGTATTCAACGAGACAACATGGGGACAGAGATGAGAGTTCATTAAACAGGACGCAACCCTCTCCGCCTACTGCAGCATACATACAGATCATGATGGACAAAAGATCCGAGCTCGACTCAAACCATCCTCATCGTGCATGGACAAGAGATGGAGCTCGACACGAATCCCCTTCATCGTGTCGTGCATGGACAAGAGATCGAGCCCGCCTGTGAGACGGGAAAGAACGCGACTGAAATCACCTTCATCATGGAGAAGAGATCGAGCTCGACACGAATCCCCTTCATCGTGAGACACAGAACGAGCGCAACTCAAACCCTGTCTCTTATACACATCTAGATGTGTATAAGAGACATCACATACCACCTTCATCATAAGGAGAGACCGCAACCCACTCAAAACCCACCTTCATCGTGGACAAGAGATTGAGCCCGACTCAAACCATCCTCATCATGAGACGGGAAAGAACGCGACTGAAATCACCTTCATCATGGAGAAGAGATCGAGCTCGACACGAATCCCCTTCATCGTGAGACACAGAACGAGCGCAACTCAAACCACCCTCACCGTGGACAAGAGATCCAGCCCGACTCACATACCACCTCCATCATAAGGAGAGAACGCAAGCCACTCAAAACCCACCTTCATCGTGGTCAAGAGATCGATCTCGACTCGAATCACCTTCATCCTGAGACGAGAACCAGCTCACCTCCAACCACCGTCATCATGGGCAAGAGAGCGAGCTGACCTCATCACGGGGCAAGAGAGCGAGCTCGACCGAAACATCCTTAGCAATGAGCAGAGCAGAGAACGAACGCGACTCACATGTCTTTCCTCAGCAGAGGGATCCCTGCAGCCGGACGCAGCCCTCTGTCCCTGCCCTTCCCAACCTCTAGAGAAGAAAGATGGGTGGTTTCAACAAGTTTTTATCTGGTTCTTACGTCTCTTTCGAGATGAATAAATAGAAACTCAATAAGTAAACAAAATACAATCGATTATCTACCCAAAATGAAATAAAGTCCCAAAGACCTATGATATGACGCAGCCTACCAGGTAGTGCCCGGACAGCGAGCGAGCAGCAGGCGGAATTTATCGCAGGGTGTGTACTACGGAAGGTGAAACAGGGCAAATTTATGAGCATAGAATAACGCGATAGGGTTCTGATCCCACTTCGTTCGCTTTCGGGGTTGGAGTACTTTTTTTTTTTTTTTTTTTTTTTTTTGAAATAGCATAGGTTGGAGTACTATTAATAGAGACGGTTTGGGGCATTGGTTTTCTTTTTGTCCGAGGTGAAATTGTTCGATCTATGGATGGATGGAACAGGGAGATTTTAAAGAGAAGGAACTCAGGCCACCATCTTCAAGGGGAAGAGAACGGCCTCGAGTCGTAAACAACCTTCCTCGTGAGGAGAGAGCGAACGTGCCTGTGACTCAAACGGCCTTCATGAGCAGAGGGGAGGGGGGCGGGGGGATATGAGGCCGCGGACGCAGCCCTGTGTCGCTACTGCCTGGAGTCTAACCGAGAGAGAGAGAGAGAGAGAGAGAGAGAGAGAGAGAGAGAGAGAGAGAGAGAGAGAGATGGAACCAAACACGCGACGCAGCGTTCTCTGCACACAGCAGTAGATATGGACTTGATACAGGGTGTGTACTAATCGAAACAGGGAGAAGAGAGGGAAGTGGACAGGAACTCCTCCCCCATTCACTTTTCCCCGAACACAACGCACCCTCGTCATGACGGTATCGGACCGGAAAATTGGCGTGCCTGCATTCAGAATAAGGGTGCGTTGTGTTCGGGGGAAGACGGTAGCGTAGCGAAGTAGAAGACGGGCGGAAGCTGAGCTCAGACTTCTCGCGGAACTGATCATCGCAGGAGGCACCAGGATCGGGACGCAATCTCTTCAGGCGAGCGCGAAGTCGGTTATCCATCCCGACCCCGTTTGGTTAGACTGTTGTTGCACGCAAACCTAATTTTATTTCTTCCTCTCTTTCCCAATCCATCCTTACAGTACTCTCTCTCTCTCTCTCTCTCTCTCTCTCTCTCTCTCTCTCTCTCTGCGCGCGCGCGCGCGCAAGCATCCTCGAGGTTTCTGACTCTCCCTCAACGCAGCCGTGAATTGTTGTTGACGCCAACGATTCATCGACGCGTGCTCGCTGCATCACTCACCAAATGTGCAAAATGAGAACGAATCTTTCCCAAGAACATGGAAAGATACACGCGCCAAATTTGTCTATTTCATACTTGGTGGCTGGTGCGGCGAGGCCCAAAAGCGCACAAAAGAACAAGAGGATGAAACTTCCGGCGTGGTTGTTGATAGGCCTCTGCGCGAGGACGACACGCATAAATTGAGAAGTGGTTATCGATTAATCGTTGACGCCACCACTTGATCCACGTGCGTGTGCGACACAGAGCGCACAAAACCACCACAGGATGATGGAGCTTCTCCCGTCGTCGTCGCTCCCTCAGCGCAGTCGCTGGATTCCGCGCTGACCTCCCAACATTTCGTCCCAACCACGTGCGCGTGCGCAACGTCCTCCTTGCTACGATACTTTCCTGTTTTTTTTAATCCTCTTTCTTTTTCTGGCTACGATATTTTCAGCTGTCAGGTATAATTACCTCCTTTAAAAAAAAAAACAAAAAAAAACACCAGATTGAATCTTCTACTGCTTCCCACATCATCAGACGTCCCATCATCTGGGACCCACTCCCGATCCATTTCCCAACGACTTGGGACCAACATCGGACCCAATCCGGATCAGCCATCCGATTGGCCGTTGATCGGACGATCTTGAAGTTGTCGTCCGGATCATCACAACCGTCCTCGACCGTCCTCGACCTGACTACGATGGTCCTGCCACTGCGCAACTGAGGGAGCGTGACACGAGTGGGGAGAAGATGCGAAGATGCGACGATGCGATGACTAAGCAAGCAGTAAATTAAATGCCTGAATTAATCGGGCAGCCAGTTCAATTCTTGCCCAGCGGAGGAGATGGGCGAGGTTGAGGTGGAGGTGATGTGAAAGTGGAGGTGGAGGTACTCTCTTTGGCTAGGAGATGAGCAGTCTGCTTGCCTTTGTGGAGCAGGTGCAAGAAGAGAACGGAAGGAGCGAGGGCGGACGGCGAAGTCATGTTGTAGGAGTGAAGAGGGAAGAGAGAGGTGTGCGCAGAGTGGGACGCAGAGGGAGGGGGGAGGAGTGGCCTCGTGGAGAAGGTGCAAGAAGAGAACGGGAAGAGCAGAGTGGGACGCAGAGGGAGGGGGGAGGAGTGGCCTTGTGGAGAAGGTGCAAGAAGAGAACGGGAAGGAGCGAGGGCGGACGTTGTAGGAGTGAAGAGGGAAGAGAGAGGTGTGAGCAGAGTGGGACGCAGAGGGAGGGGGGAGGAGTGGCCTTGTGGAGAAGGTGCAAGGAATGAACTGGAAGGAGTGAGCTGGGAGGGAGGAGGAGTCATGGCGGAGGAGCGAAGACGGAAGAGAGAGGTGTGAGCAGAGCGCGAGACGGAGAGAGGGGAGCGGAGTGGCTCCCTTGGGGACCACGTGCGAGGAGTGGATTGGAAGGAGTGAGATGGGAGGGAGAGGAGTCAAGAGGGAAGAGAGAGGTGTGAGCAGAGCGAGAGGCGCAGAGAGGAGGAAGGAGTGAGGTCAGGAGAGAGGTGTGAGCACTGAAGGGGGAGGGGAGAGAGCGTTGTGAGGAGAGAGATGAGTGGAGGGACGTGGGAGGCGACGGCGGAGATCATCCGGTGACCCACTTCTCGTCACAACATAGGAGAAAGGATGAGGAGGAGGTGGTCGTTCTTGATGCGGGTCGAGCTCATCTCGCCAGGGGCGGTGAAGGTCGACGACAAGGAGGAGGCGGAGGAGGAGGAGGAGGAGGAGCAGGAGGTGCTGGTTGCGGAGGAAAAAGAGCTGAACATTGTTGATGTGGACGACGTTTGTGTCTTTCTTTCTCTTTTCGGTGGGCGGGAGCTAGAGGGACCTGATGTTATTGCATAGCGATCTGATTCCGTCACGATTCGATTCGTCAACTGTTTACTAAGGGCCTCGCTGCACTACTCTCGAAATGCGCAAAACGAGAGTGAAATTATGGAAAGATACACGGCCATGATTTTTGTTTTTTTTTGCATGTCGAGAGTAGTGCAGCGAGGCCCTAACAGTTCCATGTGTGTACCATTCAGCCACAAGGATTGGGTGGACTCGGTTTCTGCAGCCACGCAGATTTGAAGATCGAACTTGTTTCCTGCGGTGGCTGCGGCTGCTAAGCCGGGGGAGAGAGAGAGAGAGAGAGAGAGAGAGAGAGAGAGAGAGAGAGAGAGAGAGAGAGAGAGAGAGAGAGGTGTTTCCTGCGATGACCGTACAGACGGAGACGGGTTGTGGCGGTAAAGAACAGCCGCGAAGGCATAGAGGAACTGGCAGGACGATTTTCTGGAGTGAGACTGCGGGTACTTGCGAGCAGATAGGTCCACGGAGGTTCTTGGGGGGTAAAAGTAAGCCGTACCGGGAGATCGTTGGGCGCATCTACGGCCGAGCTTTGCGGTGGAGAGTGAAAAGCAAGGCAGGTCTCGAAAGCAGGTAGAACCAGTGGGACTGGGCTCCAGGGGGCGTCCTGTGGTCTTATGAAAGCAACGTAAGGGGATGGGCGATGGTAGAGAAGACCGAAACAAGGGAGAGAAAGACGAGGGGAAGAGTGAGAGGGCAAGCTTTCGCCGGGGCAAAGGTCAAGGCCGAGTAGAGGGTATGGGGCAGAGGCGGAGTTCAGGAGTCTGATTTCTGCTGGTTTCGAGACCCCGTTTCGTTGCGTGTGTTCACCATTCATCCAGCTGGGCTGGCGAAGTTTAGTCGAGTGATACATCTTTCACGAGAGATGGATGGGGCAGGGACAGGGGCAGGACCAGGGGCAGGACCGGGGTCACGACCAAGCCCACAAGCCAGCCCATGGACGTCGAGTTCTGGCTCTGGTCCAGGTTCCGCTCCTGCCCCTCGGGTTTCCCCAGGCTCGGCAGGTTCTGCAAGCCCTACAGGTAGGACAGACACAGGTCAAGCCGTCCCGCCGTGGGCGTTGGGTGCCTCTGCAGGTCCAAGCATGCGCGGTGCAACAAGTGTTCCAGGTCCCAGCCCCCGTGGCTCAACTGGTGTGCCAGGTCCCAGCCCATGGGGAACAGCTTCTGCTCCTGGTCCAGGCTCACAAGGCAACAATGCTGTTCCAGGTCCAAGTCCTCGACGAGGTAATGCAGCTCTGCCCCCGAGTCCACGGACAGGTACCGCAGTTCCAAGCACAAGCCCACCGCTGCGGACTGCAGGTCCAGCTTCAAGTGTGAGAGCGAACCCATGGCCAGCTCCGGTTACAGCGGGTGCGCCGGTGACCACAGGCGGGGGAGGGCAGGAGGGAAAAAGACTGGGAGTAGAGGATCAGAATGAGGCATCTGGTAACAGGCAAATGTCAGGGAGAGGGGTGGGCGGATGGGAATCAGGAGGGGGAGGGGGAGGGGGAGGGGGAGGGGGAGGGAGAGCTGGAGGGGTAAGTGTAGAGGGAGTCAGTGCTCGAGGAGGTGTAGGGGGAGGCAGTGCTGGAGGGGCAGGTGTGGGGGGAGGCACAGGGGGTGTATCGGCGGCAGTCCCCATGGCAAATGAAAGGCGGGCGAGGGGAGGACCAGGTTTGGCAGGTGGTCTGGTGCAGGGAGCTGGGTTTCTCCGTTTTTCTGCCTTGGGGCGCCAGCTGGCTCGTAGAACAGTTCCCAGGAGGTTCTTGTCGCTCATTCATGTCATGCCACGACATCGCTATAGATGGAGACCTTCAGATGTGACAACCATCGCTCGCACTTTCCGCCATGGCCGGTATGGCACTGCACTTGTCTATGGGCAATGGCATGGAAGTGGCGAAGGCCTGAACAGTGGGTCTGGTGGGAAGTTGTTTTGGACCGGGTCAATATCTCCAGTCACTGTTAGCATCGTTAGAACCACATGGAGCAGGGTCAAACAGCTTGTTGACCACGAGGAGATGACATGCGCCTTATACCGCCATCTTTTCACACTGAGACCCGATCTAGAAAGGCTTTTCAAAAGGCCCCATTTCCTCCAGCAGGGCATGTTTTCCAAGATGGTAGATCGGCTCATTGCATCCCTGGATTCTACTGACAACATGAACGTTGATCTGCAGGAGCTGGGGCTGCGGCATTTGCAGTACAATGTGCAACCAGAGCAGTTCTTGGCTGTCAAGCAGGCATTGATCATTACTCTGGCGGAGGTACTGCAGCAGGAATGGACTCACGAGGTGGCTGATGCGTGGCAGCAGGTGTGGAATGAGATCAGTGAGGTCATGAAGGCTTACATGTCTGTGGATCCTCTGGTGCACGCCATAGCCAAGAATTCCATGGACTTGGTTGGCAAGGAACTGGAGAGGACACCTAGGTGCAGGCGTGTGTCCAGAATTGTCTCACCGCTGCCACACCCTCCCTGCTACATATCGCCCCTCCTGCATGCCATACTAGATCGGAGGGTTGGGATAACACGCCTCCTGATCAAGGATATCCTGGCCATCCGTGCAGACTCGTCGGGATACTACTACGGCATGAGGGAGTTGTTCCTCTGTGAGCCAGACATCATCGCCTTGCTGGTGGAGCACGTGCCCGTCGCCATCTTGGATGTCTTGGACGGTTGCCGTTGGGAAAGCAACCATGTTGAGGGATTGATCCGCCGGCGACGTCGGGTTAATTACTACATAGAAGGCCTATATGGGCAACCAGACTTGCCCGCAGTCCTGTCTCCCTTGGCCAGTATGCTGCAGCTCAAGTCCAACGCGGCCTTCTCCCACCCCACCATGAGAGTCCTGGTGTTCCAGAAGTGGAAGCACTTCGGGAGGAAGATGTTCGCCTTAGAACAGGGTCTTTTGGTCCTCAAAGTTGCCGCATTTTTGCCGGCGTACATCTTCTATCCGCGGAAAAAGGCTGTGGTAGCCCTGAGGTGCATTCTTTGGAACTGGTCGGTGTGGGATCTGGTTTCAGACCCAACAAAGCTAGGGTTTTTCAAAATCAACATGTTCGAGGATGCCTGGCCTCCAGACACTCGCCAACAACTGCTGGCCATAGCCAAGTTGGCCCTGGAGGCGGTATGGGACACGGTGCTGCCCAATGGATTAACTATAGCTCTGATTCCATTTGAAGTGAACTGGAACAAGAGAGGTGCCACACCAGAGCGCATCATCAGCTCCATCACAATCCTCCTGCACTGGACTCGTCTCCTCCGACTCTTCCTCCTCTCCACAGAGCTGCATGCCTTCACCTTCACCATCTTCCAAATGTTGTTCCGCCTCATCAAGTTCTTTGCCTTCTTTGTCTTGATTTGGTTTGGCTTCTCCATTGCCTTCTACAACCTGCTTAAGGACGAGCCTGAATTCTCCTCCCTCCCAGTATCCGCTGCCACTCTCTTCGCCAATCTCTTCAGCTTGGAGGGCTACCCGTACATTGTCAAGGCTCAAAGTGGACGGGCTGTTAATGTCACAGTTGTTTGCTTATGGTTTATCTACCTTGCCCTCTGCCACCTCATCTTGCTCAGTCTTCTCATTGGTCAGATGACGGCATCCTACAAGGCTGTCAGCCAGGAGTCGTATGCTTTGAGTACACGGAAATTGGCTGCTGACATGGTGATCCTTGAGTCTGGAATGAATGAAGACGAGAAGAGGAAGATCTGGGAAAACCTCAAGTTTGATGCTCCACTGGAATTTGATGTCCAAGATTTTGGCCCCGCTGGGGGAATTCAGGTGCTGGAGGAGGACGGTGAACACCCTCCTCCTCTTCATCCAAGGCCCACTGCTGTAGAGGTAGAGGATCGGGACCGTGATCGCATCATGCGCTATGGGGGAAGTCCACATCCTGACCTCCCTTGGCCCACGGATGACCAAGATGAAGCTCTGTTCAAGAGGATGAGGAGGAAGGTCACGTCACCACCTTCGCCAGGTGGAGATGCAGCTGCCAGAGAGTCAGGAGGATCGCTCAGTCACTATCCCACCCAGTTCTCTCACCCTACTGCTGTAACTGCTCCTGTTACTCCTGGTCGGCGTGCCCCTGCGGAACTGCAGCTTCCTACTCCAAGGCAGCGCAATTCATCTCTGCTTGGTAAAGTGTTTTCTCGGCGACCTCATTCAGGTGAGACTGTGATGACCAAGGCCACAACGGCCAACAGCGAAAAGAACGAGTATGAGGCAGGTGCATCAAGTATGGAGGACGACATGTGGTCTCTGAGCTCTCCCGTGGAGCTCCTGCCATCTGCTCTCTTAGGAGCAACACGCGGAACCCCTCTAGACCCTGTGAAACGGAAATGGCTCAGACTGTTGCGCTCGTGGGTGGAATCCCAAGGCCAGTCACAACAACATCCAGCAACCCTGGAAGGCTCAGCGAATCCGTCAGCCTCCCCACCGGCTGTATCACAAGCAGAACCAGCAGCCACCGTACCAGCAGTCCCACCAGTAGTATCACCACCAGTTCCCGCAGTGGTCACTTCCGGAGTCCCAGCGGCATCAGGTGCACCGGGGGGCATCAGCTCACAGGGAGTAGGGACGGCAGCAGCAGCAGCAGCAGCAGCAGCGACAACATCAAGACCACGACCGAGACCTATGCTGTCACCCATCAAACCACCTTCCACTTTGCAGCCTTCTGTACCCGTCATGATCTCTCAGTCTCAACTTGCACGCCACAACACATCATCCGATGCTTGGATTGCCATCAGGGGCCGTGTGTATGACATCACAACCTTCATCCCGGAACATCCAGGGGGCAAGATCATTCTCTCAAGCCTTGGAATGGATGCCACCCAGCCCTTTGAAGCCGTTGGCCACAGCCCATTCGCTGAGTCTATTCTCGAAGATTACTTGATTGGAGAGCTTGTAGTAGAAAGGAGGGATATGTAGCATAGGATCTGAGTGCTTCGCCGTGGAGCGCATCGCCTCCCTCTTCGGAGGTAGCCCTCCCAGTCGTGTCATGCAGGAGTGTGAGCATGACATTGCTGGGTGCTTTCCGACTGGGTGCACCAGCTTAGATCTGGCTGAGTTGGTCTAACCCTAGGACAACGGTGAAGACCACCATGATCCGACTTACTCTCTTTGTGGATCTGGGAATTCCTGTGCCCTGGGACAGTGCCGATCCCTGTGGAAATGTGGGACAAGCGCACAGGGATCGGCACTGTCCCAGGTCCAAGGCTAGCCCCACAGGGAGCGGCACAGTCCATGTACTAGCCTTGCAATTGGGACTGTGCCGATCACTGTGGTCTTGTCCATCAAGGCCTCTGTACACGTCTGAGATTTTTCCCATCGAGTCGTAATTGAACCTGCCACAGGCAGCCTAGTGCATGGAACGCACAGCCTTTGTGTGCGCCGCCAGAGTTTCAGTTGAGCCTACCCAGTCTGTTTGAGACCGGTAATCCCGGGCCTGTGCCTTTCAATCCATGATTGTTTTGACATCCAATAGCAGCAGTGCTGTTGTAGTCATTTGAGTCCTTGCAGCTGCAGCAGCAGCAGTGATGTTGTAGTCATTTGAGTCCTTGCAGCTGCAGCAGCAGCAGTGATGTTGTANGCAGCTGCAGCAGCAGCAGTGATGTTGTAGTCATTTGAGTCCTTGCAGCTGCAGCAGCAGCAGTGATGTTGTAGTCATTTGAGTCCTTGCAGCTGTAGAATAGCAGTCACAGTTTATTGTCGCAGTACTAGAGTACTACCGTCTTCACCCGAATAGAATGCCTGGTAATCATCGCCGTATCTCGACTGGAAGTTGCGCCAAATACAGCCATAATGACCGGCCGTTCTATTCAGGTGAAGATGGTAGGCTTCTCAATCACCAAAATATATGGAATGATTCTGTGAGTAGCCCAACCCACATTCCACAGACATTTACCGCAGCTGTGACGTTGCAGACTCAGCAATCAAATGCATGAGCCCAAGATGTGTAATAAATTCTATAGATGATCGTCGCTGGACCTTGCAAACCTGGAGTTCGGTGATACGGGAGCTATCGGGAGATAGACTGATGATGCGGTACCCTCAAATCAAGGCTGAGGATTGACGAAACCAAGTCAAGTGGCACTGTGCACTGCATGCACTTGATATTGATAACGGTACTGTGGATACTTACAAAACCCAACTTCAACCACGGTCCACGACATGCAGACAGATGGCCGTTCAATGCTTGGAGAAGATCCATTTTGCGAATTGCTTGTTGCTTTCAGTTGACATCTCCATTGGAACAGAGGCGGTTTATTGTCCAAAGTCACAACATAGGCCCACAATCGCTCCATGCAAAGCAGTCAGGAGAATGGTGAATTGACCCGAGGGCGTTGCTTAGACCAGACATGCCTTCTTTGCAAGCTGCACCAGCACAGGATGGAAAGAGAGGGTGATGGTGGCAGTGCCATGGAGGGCGCCAGAGCAGGGGGGGCAGAGGGCCAGGTGCAAACAAAGGGGGTCGGATGGCTTGAATGCACTACAAGTCATCAATCCTAACAGGTTATTGGCCATGGATTCGGCACATCAACAGCTGCCCCCAAATGGTGTAGTCTGTCAGGACCCTTAGCAGTCCCAGGTCCCAGTCCCCAGTCCCAGATCCTAGTCCCAAGTCCCATTCCGAGTTCCATTCATGGTTCCAGCCACTCATATGGTATTCACCAGTCTTCTACAAGAGTAACTCTCGGTCGTACGATGAGTTTGGAAGTCCTAATAGGCTAGTTAAGTAGGTCGTGGTGTGAAGTCAAGCCTGAGTTACTAGATACAAAGTCAGAAGCGGATGATTTCGGCATCATGCTTATCACTCAGCATGGCTACTCGGCTACTCGGACTATATGTCATGATCCTACTCTGAGGTTGGATCTAACCTAGACTTTGGATCAACCCCAGGTTCCTACAATGAGTTTGGAAGCCTAGGTAGGCTAGTCAAACCACCAGTACCTCCTAAAAGTCCTCCTCGTTAACGGGCGTGGCTTTTCGGATGAATGGGCCTGGGCCGGTAGTCCTGATTCAGCCAACTTGAAGTGGAAACGGCGCCGTTTCCACTTTTGGCTGGCTGGCCCTTAACACGAGCACTTTTAGGAGGTACTGGTGGTTTAAGCCTAGGGTATAGCTTACCGGTTTCGGCGTGGCTGGAATGTGAACAGATGGGAGCCTTGAAGTCTTGGATGGGGGGCCGGACTAGGGATAGGCGTCATGAAATACCGTCACCAGGATATCACAGCCTCCCCTGGAGGTACCTGGTCTCAAGCTAGGTCCAAGGTCCATGTACAGCCAGGGTGTCCAGCGTTTTACAAACGCCGGACCCTCAGGAACAACAAATTTTGACGAGTTTTCGGCCAAAAAACTCGGTTTCAAAAAATAAAAGATGTCCATTTTGACGAAATGGCAGTTGGAGCCTTGAAGTCTTGGATGGGGAGCCGGACTAGGGATAGCCCGGATAGGCGTCATGAAATACCGTCACCAGGATATCACAGCGTCCCTTGGTAGTCGTGACGGTCGGTTCCAGCGTGGTCGGAATAGTACCAGGGGGTGGTCCCTAGGGAAGCTTACCGGTTCCGGCGCTCCAATGGCAGTGCCCGCTATAGGTGGGAATCTGGCCCTCTACAACAATCTGGAAAAAAAAAGCAAAAAGTCAGAATACCCTAGGCTTAACTAGGCTACCTAGGCTTCCTAACTCATTGTATGGAGCTAGGGTTGATCCAAAGTCCAGGTTAGATCGAAAGTCAGAATAGGATCATGACATATAGTCCGAATCGCTGTGCTGAGTGATAAGCATTATGCCGATATCAGCTGCTTCCCCTCTCCATCTGCAAATGGAGTTCCAATGATTAGAAAGAACAAACTGTCCTTTTTTCCTCCTTTCTTAAACTACCACAGTGACTGCCGGTGCACCTTCATCCAAGCTGCGGCCGTGTGCTCAATGAACTCTGACCCTGGTTGTCAGCATGCTGGTCCTTATCTTGCTTAACATTCTTGGGGCACTGGCCCTGATTGCCAACTATAGAAAGAGAGGAGGAAGGGAGGAAAGAAGATACTCTGAGGAGAAAAAAGGGGAAGAAGGGAATGAGGGGAGAGAGAAGAGGAGAGGTCCGAGAGGAAAGAAAAGGAGGACGAGGGACGAAAAAGGAAAGGAGGAATTTCATTTCGGTCATATGGACCCGAACTTGGGACCCGGTCTGTATTTCAACAATTCATGGGTGTACCAACTGAGCTATGCTCGTTGGAAAGGAGGAATTATACAATGCCAACTCCACACATTTTTTAAGGATTCCCAAGATTGGGCATCGTTATAATCGCAGGCACTGACGATATTAATGGTTTTCTTTTTTCAAAACAGCTCTAGTGCAGACTCTCCAGACTTGATCTCTGTAGGGCAGGGTTCGAATCCCACTGTGACAATCCCCCTCCCATTCCACCATGAGAAGGTGTCTCTCCCCAGCCCTGGATGTACGCATGTTGAGGCCAAGAAAAGTGTTTTTCGTCTATTAGGACCAAATTGGTGTTGTTTGGCAATGTTTGCGATATTGGTACTAGATTCAAGTTCATTCAACCAGTGATCAGTACAGTAGTTTACAAATCCATTTCAGATCTCCATTTCTGTCTGTCACCCTTGTGCAGGGGCCATTTGCTAACTATTTTAACGAATGTCCTGAAGGACAAGTTTGCAAATCCTTGTAGTGCTGTTATTTTGTGTTGTTTATTGGTTTGTTGAACTTTGTTCCTATTGCGCTGTTCGTTAGTTTCTCCTTTCTTGATGGTTTTGTCGGGCGAAGTGGCCGAAAGGCTGTCTCGGACTTTATTTTGTCATGGCACTGCCAAGTGTAGTTGGCGTAAAACCCACGGACCGAATCTGGGTAATGGTCCCAGCCTGTGTTGATGTTCATTTCCGGGTTCTTTGTGAGGAATTCCCGGCCTCTTATTCTCATGATAATGGATTCCTTGCTTTTCCCCAAAAAAGAAATAAAAAAATCCTCGTAGAATGTAGTTGTTTGGTCTACTGTAACAGCTCGATTACTTGTTGAGTGCATTGGCGGTGTAATATCAAGGTGGTGTAGGGAGGAAGATTGCACTGTTTGTTAGTTTCTCCTTCCTTGATGGTTTTGTCGGGTGAAGTGGCCGTATGGCACTGCCCAGACTTAGTGTAGTTGCCGTAAAACCCACGGACCGAATCTGGGTAATGGTCCCAGCCTAACAAGGAATTCGTGAAAAGTGGACTGTTTTTGAAAACTGGACTTTACTATCTTTTGCATGCAAAATTAAAAAAATAATATTTTTTGGGGGAAACGAAAAGAAATCAGAAAAATGGTTAGACGGAAAAATAAAATATTTAAAACTGTAATAACATCCTTTTGACATTGTCAGATGCAAAGCAAATAAAATGTTTATTTTATAAAATGTTGGACACAAATGTCATTTGTCATCAAGAAAGCAGGTGAAGTTCGGCACTATAGGTCATGGTGGGATGCATTGACAAGCCTTCTGTGCATTATACAAATACTGACCCCTGCCAGGCTAGAAAGGATTTTCTCGAAAGGCCCTGTGCCAGCACTACAGGTGGGGTGCATAAACAGACCTTCCCCGCTCTTAGATTGGTTGGCAATGCTTGAAAGGACTTCTTGATTGAGGGGGGCAAAGGCGGAAGGGAGGGGATCGATGGTGGGCCTTCACGGTGAGGGGGAAGGCGGGGCCGAAGAGGGATGGTGGATCCGGTGGGAGGAGAGTGGCGTGGACGGGGCGATAGGGGGGAGGACGACTTTTTGTTTCCGTCAAAGTGCAAGAATAGTAGGTTGCCTGTCGGTCCGCCTAGGTCACCTTGTTTGTCGGGGCAGCCTGGTCGTGCAAGGACCAAAGAAGGTCCCAACAAAAAAAAATTATATATATATATATATCAAAACTTTGGGAAAAAATATATATTGTGAAAAAAATCAACTGAGCAACTTTTGCCTCATTGTCACATCAAAAGTCATTACCAAATTCAAAATATAAATTGAATTCATTTATTCAAGTTTATTTATTTTTTCGGCCAC